CCTTTTCAGTTGCCCACATCTACGGTTCACAACCCACTTCCCATGTCGGCAACTTGTGGACCGCACGATTCCAATGGTGAGACACAGCTGGCCTCAACTACTTCCCAGCCAATTCCCCATCTACCGTCGAATCTTCTGCCAGTTTCTCCTCTACCGTTGGATCTTATGGAGCAACCATCCAATCCCACTGGCCATCACGTGGCTGTCATTCATACCACTGCAACAAATGATGCATTGGGAACCAACGATAATTTGACGAATTTCAAAAGACTTGAGGACAAGTCCACTCCTGAAGCGGAGGATGATGTTACGAGCTCAGTTACTAGAAAGGCTACTAAAAGAACCATAAAGAAACCGGCCCATCTCACTGATTTCATATTGGGCTGAAGTAGTATTGGATCTTAATTCCATAGTATAATATTTTCTTTTAATATGCATTATTTTCATTATGTGTAACCAACTTACGTGTATATAGCCTACTGGGCTTAGTAAAAGGGTAACAATATTCAGATAACTCTTCTCTCTTATCCTTCGTCTCTTCTTTAACCTAATTCTTACCTACTAAATTCTGTTCTTTGTTACAACTACACACACTCTTAACACATACACCCCACACCACTAGGCTAACCCTAGTGGTGCAAAACTTTAAAACAATTTGATTCAGTTTGTAATTTTATTTTATTTTTTTGGTAAATTCAGCTTTGTAATCTTTTTATTACTACAATAAGTCTACTTCAAAAATTACATATTCTTATTCGTAATATGGAAAATTTGTAAAAATAAAAATAAAAAGTAAAAAAAATAAATAATAATTTGGATTGAAATGCATTTCTGTTAAACCAATTTAAAATGATCATTATATGCTTCTGCACGAACTTCTGTTTTCATCATCGATGTGTCAAATAATGACATTGATGTTTTATTCTAGTGAAAAGTAAAAACGAGGGAGTGGATCCTCTTTGTTAAATAAAATATGATATAGTTGTGAGGAGAAATTATAATCATATAAAATTAGATTAATAGTAATAAAAATATATATATTAAAATAGCTAATATGAAATTATTACTGGTAATTTATGTTTAGATGATTTTAATTTTCTCACGTGATAATGTCATATTTTATTTAACCATATTTTATTTAACATCACGATGAAAACATGATATTTAGCAGCTTAGGCTTACTTGGTTGGCTGAGAGAGTCTTACAGGTAGGGGGATAGGATCCTGAGTCCTGAGTCCTGACTCCTGACTCCTGACCGTTTCTTCATTTACGAAATAGACTATTACGTGGTAGTTTTTATTTGTACAAATAATAAAAATCGACAACATATGATTTAAATCAATTAAACAGACAACATAACATTTTGAAGTTATATTCAATTTAAATAAACATTAATTGATTTTACGCAATCAATCAAGACGAAAAAGAAAATAAAAAAAATAACTCATATGTAGATAGATGTATGCAAGTATAAGTTTAAATTAACTTAATTTGCCTTTAAAATAATTTATGAATAAACAATTTGTATAATTACAAATAACAATGATTACTTTTTTTAAAAATGAACTGATGCAAAATTATATGGAAAGTAGACTTTCAGGAAAATGCAGAAATTTTCTGCTATATTATCATTCTTCAATAATCAAAAAGTCGTCTCTCACATCCTTATGACCAGCCTTTTAAAGGCAATACAAAAAGTAACTGACAACAAAAAATCATCAATGGTCTTAAAAACTGATACAAAACGGAAATAACCATAAACAAAACATAAAGTTATGCAAACTGAAACGTCTGCCATTATTAAAATCCATAAAAAGCTTTAAAACTGAAACGTCTACAATTATAATAATTTATGGTGACTTAAGTGCATCGTGAACAAAAACCAAACATACATTAATTCTTCCCATACAATGGAATCCTTTTCTTCCAAATCCAACCTTTCCGTTTTGAACCATCACTTGTAAAAAATCCGAACCCAACTTAAAAGTTTGGATAGAAAATAACAAAGCACAAACAAATCTTGTTACGGTTATCAAATAAAGAATAAGCTTGATTTACGTTGGACCCTATAGCATAGAAAGGAGAATAATTTTATTTATTTTAAACACGAATGCATACCTGTCGCATGAATTATCTTATGTGGAACAATTTGTTTCAAAGTTTTTGAAGCTGAACATTTTGTTCACGGTGTGATTTTATAGGAGATAATATTTTGTTTATATATATTTTTCTCTTTGTATAATTTTATATAAGTCTTACATATTTTTATATATATAAAAAATAAAATTATTTTTTAAAATATAAGAAAAATATTTGTTCGGTTCCACACCTTATCTAATTTTGGTAATAACAAACAAGTGAAGCTAAAATATTTAATAGTTTGTTTAGTTTTTCAAAATTTGACGTGTGACTTAATTTGTGATGAAGATAATACAAGACAATTATCATGAAATCGTAAGGATCAAAATTGCAAGATAAAATTTTAGATTTCATTAATGGTTGGATGAAGTGAATCATAATCATACCTCATGATAGAATCTTTAAAGTTTTAGAAATTAAGGAATGAAGATTAATTTTTTTTAATCCAAATATATTTTTAAGATTTTATTTTATTTTCAAAAAGATATTTAAAAAGTTTTTTTAAAAAATTATAATAATCTTGAGATTTTTCCTTAATAATAGATTTTGAGAAAAAAACCTATAAAAATCATACATTAATCTTTCTTCATAGGATGGGGAAGTGAGGTTTCAAGATAAAAAAGTTTTAGTGAGCTTTCGAGAGAATTTTATTTTATTTTTTGTGAGCTTTCAAGAGAAAAAGATCTTTGAACATTCAAGAAAAAAAGATTTTTAATTATTCAAAGGAAAGAGCACATTGAATATATTATGACAATTTTTTTTAAGGTGCATTCAAACTAATTTAGGAATCAAGGTATGAGTAGATTCATCAAGTTCACAATTTAAATTTTATTTGTACCTATTTGCTTAGGGATAGAATATTGTAATAATCAATTAGTGTTAATTATTATCAATCAATTTCACCGTTAGATCGATTATATTAATCCAATGGTTATATTTATTTTCATCTTTGTATGGTTATGATTCGCCATATTTAATGTGAAAGTATTAAATATGAGAAATCATAACCATACAAAGATAGGAATAAATATAAAGTATAAATACGAGGAATCATAACCATACAAAGATGGAAATAAATAACTGGTGGATCAACATAATTGATCTAACGGCGAAATTAATTGGTAATAACACTAATTGATTGTTACAATATCCTTCTCCATTTGCTTATTATATAGAAACAATAAGGTAATCAAATTTAATTGAATTTTGTTCTTAACCTTTGAAAAGGTCATGATTTAATAATAAATCAGTCTTTGTTCATTGCGAATAAAGACGGGAGAGCCTATTCTTATATACTTTGAATTGATGAATAATAAATTTTTCTCCTAAGTTGGGGTCATGAGTTTTTGTCTACTATTGAAGTTTTTTCCACATTAAAATAACTGAGTTACATTTTCATTTTACTCTTTATTTTATCATAATAAAGTCAATTCATGCACGTCTTGAGTTCATCTAGACCGACAATATTAATCTCTTATTTATAGAATGAAAAAATCCAATATTAATATACTAGTCCGTAGCGTGATGTGAAGCGCGTAGTCTCATGCGTGCGATTTTATTTTCTCTGTTAGGGTTTGCTGGTTTGGGACGAACGCTGTGTACGACAATCAAGATAGGAGATGGAGACGGTTGATGATGGCTCGAAAGGGGTGAGAGAGCGTACGGCTGAGGAGGAGGACTTGTTTCAGAGGAGTTTGAAGAAATCGAAGGGTGCTGTGGTGGTAGATGAGCATATGGACGATGAAATGCTGGAGAAGCTGGATGATGGGGCTTGCGAAGAGCCCAAAGCCATTCTCCCTGATAGCGCGAAAACTAAGCAGTATGGATCTGGTAGGAAGGTTATTTCGTACAAAGATAAGTTGCTGCGTTTGAATGGTGGAGAGGGAAACTCAGAGAGTGAGGAGGATGACTGGAAGGAGATCCAACGCAAGGAAGAGGAGGAGGATGGTTGTGAGGAGGATCCGGTTCAAGGCCCTGAGGAGGATCCATTGTGCCCAGCTCTCCAGTTTTCTAAGAGTGAACACAAGGAGAGTTGCAAGCAGTGGAGGAAGGCTCTCATTATCAAGTTAATGGTAAAGAGAATAGGAACTCGGTTCCTGATGGCTAGGTTACAAAGACTTTGGAACTTGGTTTCGACTTATGAAATGATAGATCTGGACAATGGGTACCTCCTTCTGTGTTTTCATGATGATGGGGATTATGTGCATGTGTTGGAGGAGGGCCCCTGGATTGTTGCTGACCACTATATGGTGGTGCAAAGGTGGCATCCTTTTTTTGATCCGTTTGATGAGGGATTCGAGAAGATGGTTGTGTGGATTAAAGTCCCAGGGTTACCGATTAAGTTCTATACAGTTCACTATTTGTGGAAGGTGGGGAACTTGTTTGGTCGAACACTAAAGGTTGATAGGAACTCTCTAAGGAAGAATGAACTAGGGGATGCAGTGATCACAGAGAGAGCGAAATTCGCTAGGATTTGTGTTGAGGTGGATCTCAGCAAGAGTCTCCTATCGAAATTTAAGATTGGGGAAAAGATATATCAGGTGGGATATGAGGGAATTCATTTAATTTGTTTTCACTGTGGTGTTTATGGACAGGAAGGATCAATGTGGGGATATTGGGGCCCAAAATAATAAGAATCAGATGGAGGAAGAGTCTAATGGGCAGAGTAGTATGGAGGAGAAAGCTGGGGGCATTGCTAAGGAGAATTGCAAGGAAGAGGAAGCTTTTGGGAGCTGGATGGTGGTTCAACGATCTAACAGGGGAGGAAGCTAAAACATGTCCTGTTAAGTAAGGCTAAGGAAAAGGAGGAAGGTCCTATAACTGATTTGTCTAAATCTGGGGTTGAGAGGGTGGTCACCAGCATGGAAGTGGGTGAAGGGAGTTATGGTAATCAGACAGAGACTACTACTAAAGAGGTTCAGATGAAAGTTGAAGATCCGGTTGTGAATGAGGATTCCAAGAAGGCTGGGTTAAAAGCTGGTGGTTCAGAGGAGAAGGGTGGAAGTAGTGGAACCTTGGGTCCTAAAAATGCTTCAAAGAATGTTAGGACCGATAGTAGTTTCCAGAAGAAAGGCATCCTAAGAGAAAGTAGAAGTGGGAGTGGGAGTAGTGGCAGCAAGATAGGCAAAGGAAGTTCTGTTGACTCAAGGAAGGCTGATGTGGAAAACTTACCTCCGAATGCTGCTTTGGGGGGAGCTGATCCAGGGAGGAAACAGAGAGGCAGAGTCAAGGCTATGTCAACAGGAGGGCATGGTAGCTCAGGGGAGGAGATGGGAACTCAGGTAAAATTCAAAGGTAAAGGGGTTGAGGCCCCTGTCTTGTTGAATTCCTTTGCTGCTCTTCAGGAGGATTCGATTCTGGATGAACAAGTAACACCCTTGGAGGGTGTTAAGACTATTATTAGTCTTTAATTTTGGGATGATGATCCCTTACTTCCTTAGTAGTTGTTATGTTTATATGCTCTTGGAATTGTAGAGGTGTAGGGAGAAAAGAGTTCCCTGCCCTCATTAAAGATCTTAAATACAGGTTTAAGCTTAGTGTGTTGGCTTTGTTGGAGACTCGAATAAGTGGTAGTAGGGGTGATAAAATAATAAATAAGTTGGGTTTTTCTCAATACTTTAAGCATGATGCGGTTGGTTTTGCTGGGGGCATTTGGCTTCTTTGGGAGGATAGGAAGACCAAGGTGGAGATTGTTGCTGTACATACTCAATTTATTCATACAAAAATCCTGCATGTGGAGGATGATAGGAGTGAATTTGTTACCTTTGTGTATGGGAATCCTAGAAGGTTAGAGAGGCAGGTCTTATGGGATGAGTTGGAACTCATTGCTCAAGAGGTGGATGGTCCTTGGGTGGTGCTTGGTGACTTCAATTCAGTTCAGAAGACTTTTGAAAAGATAGGGGGAAAGGAAGCTTGCTGGAATAGTATGAGGGAGATGAATTTATGTTTGGCTAGCTGTGACCTTGAGGACATTGGGTTTAAAGGACCTAATTTTACATGGAAAGGGGAAAACTTCAGGAAAGGCTTGATAGAGCATGTGCTAATGAGGATTTGAATATTAGCTGGCCGAATAGGTTCCTATCTCATCTTCCTTTTTTCTGCTCTGACCATAGACCTATTCTGCTGGCTCATGAGCAGGATAATAAAGTTGATGGTAGGCAGAGACCATTTAGATTCCTAGCTTCTTGGATGACTATGGATGGGTTTGAGGAAGTGGTGGAGAATAGCTGGAATTCTCATTGTGAGTGGAATTTGGCCAGAAATGAGTTTGAAAGGAGGGCTAGAGATTGGCATCATAATGTGTATAGACTGATTGCTAGAAAGAAGAACTTAATCTATGCTAGACTTCGGGGGATTGATAATTACAGGAGGGGTAGATATGATCATAGTATGAGAGAAAAGGAATTTCTAGCTAAAGTGCCTACTTGTGAAGAGATTCGTGGAGTGATTTTTAGAATGGGGAAGTTCAAGGCCCTAGGGCCTGATGGACTGCAGGCTGTTTTTTTCCAGAAACATTGGCATTTAGTTGGGGAGTCTGTTTGTAGGTTGGTTATTGATATTTTCTGGATCCTTTGAAGGTTAAGGGGATTAATACATCTTTGATTTGCCTTATTCCTAAAAAGGATAGCCCAGATACTATGAAGGAGTTTCGGCCAATAAGCCTATGCAATGTAGTGTACAAGGTGGTTACCAAAATCATAACAGAAAGATTGAGAGGATTTATGCCTAGGGTAGTGGGCCCAAATCAGTGCAGCTTCATCAAAGGGAGACAGAGTGCGGACAATATTATTATAGCCCAGGAGGTTGTGCATTCTATGAAAGAGAAGAAAGGGTGGAAGGGGTGGATGATGATCAAGGTGGATTTGGAGAAGGCTTATGATCGCCTTAGTTGGAAATTCATTAAGGAAACCTTGGAGGATGTGGGTCTTCACAAGAGCCTTTCTGATCTGATTGTCAATTGTATATCATCTAGTACAATAAAGCTTTTGTGGAATGGTGATTTAATTGAGGGTTTTAATCCCCAAAGAGGGATTAGACAGGGAGATCCTGTCTCTCCATATCTCTTTGTCTTGTGTGTGGAGAGACTAGCTCATTTTATCCAGCTGGCTGTGGATACCAAAGCTTGGAAACCAATTATGATTAATAAATATGCTCCTCCTTTATCTCATTTATTTTTTGCAGATGATATCATCCTTTGTGCAGAAGCTTCCATGGACCAGGCCTTTGTTATTAACCAGGTCCTCAAGTTGTTTTCTGTGGCTTCGGGCCAGAAAGTAAGTGAAGCTAAATCCAGAGTGTTCTTTTCGAAGAATGTGGGTTTTAATAGAGCTAAGGAAATCAGTGAGTGTCTGGGTGTAGGAATTACAAATGATTTGGGGAAATATTTGGGAGTCAATCTAAATCATAGAAGAGTATCCAAAAACTCTCTGAATTATGTAGTGGAGAGGGTGCACAATAGGCTCTCCTCTTGGAGCCAAGCATCTCTGTCATTGGCAGGAAGGATCACATTGGCCAAAGCTGTTCTGGAAGCCTTGCCAGCTTATATAATGCAGACCACTGATGTCCCCATTAGCATATGTAAAGAGGTGGAGAAGCTGACTAGAGGGTTCATTTGGGGTTCAAGTCCGAATAACAGGAAGGTCCATCTGGTGAATTGGGAAAATGTTTGCAGGATGAAGGAGGATGGAGGACTTGGGCTGAGAAACCAGAGGTTGATTAACAAAGCCTATGCCATGAAGATTGGTTACGGGTAATGTCAAATAATGGTGCTCTTTGGGCCAGGATTCTAAGAAGTAAGTATAAGGTGGATGCTGGTTTAATTCCAAATCTAAAGGAGGCCAGAATTAAGTCTAATACTTGGGGAGGTGTCTGCAAGAGATGGAGGCAGGTTCAGAATGGTGTGAGAATTCATATTGGGAATGGGAAAAAATCAAAGTTTTGGTGGGATACTTGGGTCCCTGAAATAGGGAAGCTTATAGACAGAGCTATTGTTCCAGTTCCGGAGGATGCACTTAATTGGTGGGTGGTAGACTGTGGGGATGAAGATGGGGACTGGCAGTGGTCCAAATTTAGTACTTTTTTGGATGAGGAGGTCAAGTTGGCTATTTCGAAAGTGAATCCTCCTACTGAGGCAGCTGGGGATGATAAGGTGATGTGGATCCATTCCTCCACAGGTATTTTTTCCATTAAATCTGCATATAATTCTTTGAATAGACCTTTGGCTAATGATGTTAATAGAAACTAGATGTTGGCTTGGGAGTGGGAGGGTCTTCAGAGGATTAGAGCCTTCCTTTGGTTGCTTGTAGGGGACAATTTGCTTACTAATGAGCAAAGGATGAGAAGGAACCTATGTGAGGAGGCTGTGTGTATGAGATGTCAGGGGGTTATAGAGAGTTGCAATCATATTTTTAGGGGATGCAACTGGGCAAGGCAAATCTGGCAATTGTGTTTTGATGGCAGGGAGACTAGTTCTTTCTGGGTAGGTGATTTTTGTAGCTGGCTTGAGAAAAATTTGAATAGGAAAAAACAAAATAAAGATTGGAGGAGATGGTTTGGTGTGATCTGCTGGCTAATTTGGAAGGAGAGAAACAATATGGTCTTCAATGATGAATGGAAATCTCCTGCTGAGATTGTAAATTTTGCTGTTTCGTATATCCATAGCATAACAGTGGCTGAGAATTTGCTTCTCAAGGCTAGACTGATTTCTGTGAGTAGGTCTGATGGGAAACTCCAATGGGAAATGCCCCTCCTAATTGGATCAAGCTTAATTCGGATGGTGCCTGCTCAGATAAGGGTACTAGGCTTAACTGTGGTGGAGTTGCTCGCAACTGTCGTGGACATTGGATTGCTGGCTTCTCTAAGAGACTTGCCAGTGGAAATGTGCTGATGGCCGAATTATGGGGTGTGGTAATTGGCTTGGAATGGGCTTGGGTGAAGGGTTATCAGCAGGTAATTGTTGAAACTGATTCTATGGATGCTTATAATCTGATTACTCAAGGGTGTGTGGAATCTCATCCTTGCCACATGCTCATGCTGAGAAATAAAGAAATATTGGGGAAAAGCTGGATGGTGATGACTGCTCATGTGCACAGAAAATGCAACAGAGTTGCTGACTGGTTGGCCAGCCATGCTTCTCAAGTGGATTGGCATGCTATTTGGTTTAGTGTACCCCTGAGGGTTGTAGAGGGCTTTTATTAAGCGATAGTAGGGAGAATAGTGGTAGTCTGTTTCTTTGTTTTGGTTAGCTTTCTTAGTTGTTCAAAAAAAAAAATGAAAAAGATACGTATTTTTTAATTTGATGAGAGGAGTAGTAGTATACTTTTGAATTTCATAGGTCAGCGAGAGGGAAATTATTACCCTATAAATATAATGCAGTCTTATGGTATCTGTCTTCTTCCCCTAACCTAACCTATCAAAATCAAATCAATTCCCCTCGTGATGAAAGACTCTTCTTCTTCTCTTCTATTCTACTCTCTTTCTATCGTGAAACTGAGAGGAATGTCTTGAATTCTCTTGACTCAGCGAACCTCAAACGACACCCTTCTGTCAGCAAAACGACACCCCTGTGGTTTTGGTCGTCGTAGTCTTCTTCTTCTTCGCTTCACCGAGGCATGTTATTCGCTCACCGGTTCCACTCTCGTTCGTTGTTGGATATCGGGCCTTAGCATCATCCTCGTCGTCAACTCGTCATCATCATCGTATTTACATCCAATAAAGACGTTGACTTATTCTTCGAGGGTGTACAGAAATGGAAGAAACAGTTGTGGATGACATAATCAATCGCTTACTCGAAGTTCGTGGCCGTCCAGGGAAGCAGGTGCAGCTGTCGGAATCGGAGATCCGCCAGCTCTGTGCGGCTTCCAGAGATATTTTCTTGAAGCAACCTAATTTATTGGAGCTTGAACCTTGAAGCACCCATTAAGATTTGTGGTAATTTTTTTTCTCTTCATTTTAACTTTTTAGAATTGGGTATTGTAGTGATTACGCTCTTGGGCATCAGAAGATCTGCACTAGAATATGGGTCAAAACCTAAGTGGGTTTTATGTTTGCGGTTTGGGATATGATCTGAGTGCCTTTTCTTGAATTATTACTGTCAAGTTAAAATTTTGACGAGTTTCGGTTCTGATTTGATTGCTTGCCACATGATTTTGTGAGCTCATGCATGGGTTTATAAAGTTATCTGAGTGTACGTCCTTATGAGTGATTTAATTTGAAGTCTTATACTGCGTTTGGTTACAAATTTGCTGCCTAAATTGCATGCTTCATTTTGTTTTTCTATTATGCTGTGTACGCTTACCGTTTTTCCATTTCCCTGATGTTGTCCTGGTAATGTGTCAATTGAGGTGTGCAATTGGTCTAATTTCAGTGCTAAAAACCTACTAATAAGCATGCTGTGTTAGCTGATTTATAATGAAAAAGATAGGGACGAAAGTTCATGTACGGTATTGGCAAAAGTGGCTGAGGCAAAGCAGGTTGCCACTTACGACGGGAAGGTGAAGTGTTTTGACCATCTCACTTCAGTCTGCCTCAACCAGATGTAGTTGTAGTAGCCCTCCTCGTCTCTGTTGAAAGTTGGAACCTTGCTGGCCTTTCTTCTTTTTCATTCTTTTTTGGTTTAAATAAAAAAAGTCCAATGTTTTTTTTTTTTTTCTTTTCTTTTCTTTTTATGCTATTCTATTCAGGCCTATTGGACCATGATTTGTTTGTGTCATCTGAAAGTTATTTTTCTGCTACAGTGGGATAATGGTTGGCTGTTGATGGTATAGAGGCTTGTCATACCAAAAAAGAATAAATTTGGTATTTATTATATCAAATAATTTACTACTTTAAAAACAGTTGTGCACTACTATATGATTTCATCTGTTTGGTTTTATCTAATAATCGGAAAAAAATACGGTATCAACTATGCTTAAGAGTTAAGACTCAAACTTCTCACCTACGCGATTGTTTTACACTGAAATGTCATGCGGGGAAAGAACAGTGTTACTGCTTTGGAGGAAATAATAATATTAATTGGAAAATGTGAAATCTTTGAGATCAAGTTGTGAGGGCATTGATATTGTAGAAGTATTGTCAGGGGAGTTTAAAGATGGATGCAACATTGCAAAGCTTTTTATTAGGTTTTGTAGTTATGCATAAGATGTCAAATAAATGCAAAGGCTGTTACACTATCTGGAGAATTAAAAATTTTCAGCTATGGTGTAGATGGAAGATGTGTATCTAACGAGGATAACATAATTTTGTCTCTGTTGATATGTAATTCCTTTATCTTGTAAGTTCTGGCTTTCTGCCTTACATGCCCAAATACTATGGCAAATTGGTATGGATCCTGTATGGACCTTCAGGTTCTGGTTCAGAATTTTGGGCTTAGCCTATTTTATTATTTTATCTTGGAGTTGAAGTGTTTAACCTAACTTAAATTTGGAAAAAGAGTTTCTGAAACAGGTTTTGCTTGCAGTCTTTGGTATATAAGGAAAATTTACCATGATATGGAATGCTTAGACTTTCCTAGAACCTTCTCACTGTAGTGTCATGTTGAGATTACAGTTTGTCTATGAGAAGCTGTTTCAAGTGTCCTTAAAATGGCATTCTTATTCGTTAAACTGTAAAGATTCAAAATATGCATTCTCTTGTTCTTATGAGAAACTTAACTTTTAAAAATGATGTATCATAACATTTGCTTTTATTTTATGAACTTACCAACTTTACTGTCTCAAGGTCAAGCATGTAGTATCTGCAGTTATAAGATTGTCAGATATCTTTGACATAAGTAATTGCATTTCTTCTACACGAGATCTGAGATTGTCACATCCCTTTTTATGCATTGTCTTATGCTTAGCCAGTTAAGTCAGTGTTACTGTTAAATTCTAAGGTTGAAACACAATCTTAGAGATGTATTCTCCGATAGGGCTTCAGCTCAAGTGCTGTATTATTTGTGGAGGACAAAATCAAGCAAGATTTTTTTTTTTTTTTTGATGAAGACCATTTACTAACATATGTTACTAGCAATGACTAATAACTGTAAATCAAACTTAAAAATCAAGTGTTTCTAGTGGGGAAACTTTCCTTCAAAATGGTAAAGGTATCCAGTTTCCACGGAAAACCAATTGTATAGTATTGGTTATTGAGGAGTTTATCTTCATGAACTCAAATAATATTTCTGCTAGCAGTTATTTGAAATGCCAAAAATTTAAACAAGATATCTAGTATCCATGTAATACCAATTGATTTGGTAATTGAAGGGTTTATATTTGTGCACTCAAATAATAATTCTGCTAGCAGCAGTTATTTGAAATGACAAAATTTTAAACAATGGGAAATAGGACCTAACAATATAAAATGATGCTTGAATCTGATGCATCTTTGTCAAGTCTGGCACATCATTGATTTTGCACAGAAAGTTACAAAGATCTTCATTTATGTGGACAGGATCCATCTATTATACTCGTTGGTGTTATCATTATCACATAATTCTGTTATTGTTTACAAAAAATAAAAAAGTCCTGTCTGTGTAATGATTTCTTCCTTTTGTCGATCTGTCAGGTGATGTGCATGGTCAATATTCTGATCTTTTAAGGCTTTTTGAGTATGGTGGATTACCTCCTGAGGCCAACTACTTGTTTTTGGGGGATTATGTGGATCGAGGGAAGCAGAGTTTAGAAACAATATGCCTTCTCCTAGCTTATAAGATAAAATATCCTGAGTACTTTTTCCTTTTAAGGGGGAACCATGAATGTGCTTCTATAAACCGTAT